GCCTTAATCCAACCAATGCACCAAGGCGTTATATCCAGTTTTAAGGCTTATTACTTGCGGCGAACATTTAAGCAGATGTTTGAAAAACAGACAGAGAAGAGAAGCAATCAATAAGAGAATTTTGAAAAAAAAAAAAAAACTACAATATCATGAATGCTGAAGAAAACATAAACCTTTCTTGGAATGATATAACAGAAAGATCTTTGAAAGGAATATGGAAGAACATTTGGCCAGATTTAAGTAAGAGCGAAGACATTGGACACTGTCGATATGGATGAAATAGCGAAACAAACCGGTTTAGATGAAGTAAGTGTGGAATATGTCGAAGAAATAGTTCAAGAAACAGCAGCTAGTCTTTCTAATGATGAGCTCAATGAATTAACTGAGGAAGAAGAAAACAAAAATATTGATAGTAGTGATTTCGAAGAAAAGAAAAAAGAACTTTCGATGGCGTTTGTAAAAAGGAGTTTGACCACTATAACTGTAATTATGAACCAATTTGTTGAAAATGATCCAAATTTTGACAGGAGTTCAAAAGCAAGGCGGGATGTTATATTTGCTTTATCCACTTATCAACAACTTCTAACAGAATGCAAAAGGAAAACGCAAACTATATTAGATGCCTTCTTGACAAAAAGGCAGAAAATTGGAAACAGAGAATAATCTGGAATTGAACTGACTGATTTTAATATGAATTCTGACTGATTTTAGATATTGTTTTTATAAGGTTTTATATGTTTTAAAAAAAATAAATGTTTCGTTTTATTTTTAAAAAAAAAACATTATTAAATTTAATACCTAACCAATTTTCTATCGATTTTCCCCTAATCCCATTATTTACATGTTAAGATAGCCTCGTTTTGCGCTGTTTCGCATTACGCTCTACTTTGATGGAACGTATCCCCCGCATTAAGCGGGGTCTTATTGTAAGTTTCTGGATGCCTATGTGGAGGATTTCCTAAAGCAAACGTCCTCGCAGGCACGTTAGAAATGGGGAAAACGACGAAAAAGACCTTGCGACCTGCCTGTTTGCGGGATTCGAACCTCGGGCCGAACTAGCGATGTTCAGGAACTTTACTGTTCTGATGCTGGTGGGCCAGAGAGGGAGTAAACTTTAAACCGGTCTATTTATAGTCTTTTTAGCCAACATCCTTTGCCACTATCGAAATGGAAATGGAGGTGAAAAATGTGAGGGCTTGCTTTTACAATGTCTAAGATATCTGGTTATACTACTAAGATCTTTGTTATGTGATCTTAGTAATATAATATAGTTTTCTAGAGAGTTGCATTCTTTTTTTCATAAAATCAATTTTTGAAAATCAATCTTCAGAAGTGGGACTAAGGTTTTTGCTTTCATATAAAGCAGGAAAGGAAATAATTCACTAGTTACTTCTAATTTACATATTCCATGCGAGTTAATCGTACGTTAAAAAGAATCCATTTTTATAGCTTTGAATTTACTAAATCTATCCAAAATGAGATAAGCACAATAATAGTAATTTTGTTTTTCAGTCTACAGATTTCGTTAATCACAAATGAAAAGTACAAAAGCTGAATGCTAAAATATTTTAGTGTTGTGAAACTTTCCTTTCTTAATACTACAGTTGCGTCTAATTTCTGTATTAACTCAGAAGTTCATTCTGTATCACATAAGATAAGAAATAATTTTATTAAAAAATAAATAAATAAAAATTTTATTTGAGTACTGAAAACACGCTCTTTGATAAGTCTGTAATGCCTTTCAATCTTTTATCAAGTGAACAATTACTCTCTTATCTGAACAAAGGGGAAAGGAAACTTTTTTTACGATAAATATTTTATCCCCTTAGTAGATTGCAATGTACGTCGAAGAAATTTCAGAATAGAAATTAAAAAAATTATTCTATCTTAACAAACATACAGATCTTTTCTTCGAAATGTCGATATCGCAGTGATCTTTACAATAGTTTAAAACATTATTTTTTCTATTTTTTATAAGAATTTTTGTTATAAAGCAAGTAAGAGCACTTAAATAAAATAAGAGCATATTTTGAAGTTTCAGTTTTGGAAGAATAACGTACGATTATGCCAGTAAATAAGTTATTTTTTTAACTATGAGTTGTTTTCTTTTAGTATCTTTACTAGCAATGTAAAGTTGATGGTCCATGTATATGCTTTCTTAAACAGTAAATCTCTGTCAGAGAATACACCTTCAAAAGAAAAACATCTGTGTTTAGGGGGTACTTTCCCAAACACCAGACTCTTAATGTAGGCACATAATGTATTTCATCTTTACAGCATGCGCGCTGTATATATGGGACACTATTTTGTTAAATTCCTCTCTAATATTATTTATTTGTCTCATGTTTAACAACAATATATATACAGCTTAAAAGAATTCGTTCAATAACAATCTTGTTGACACTAAAACAAAAACTTGGAAAAGGAAGACGGATAGATTGAATTCATGCTTAATTTTTAAATCAGTAATTTATTGAATGACGGGCATTAGCAAATTTTTTTTTTTTTTTTTTTTTTTTTTTTTTTTTTTACTTCTGAAAACTAGGAACCTGAGTTTGAAAGCTCACGAAATCGATAAATTTTTTATCAAAAATCTGTTGTTAAACTATATTACTTTTATTCTAATTTTAAATAATACTCATTAAATTGTTTTACATGAGAGAAACATCGACAAGTTTTTGTTCAAAATCTATGCCTAAATATGGTTTCTTCTGTGTTATCGAATACTGATTAAACTGTTTTGCATGACAAAAACAAAAAATATTATGTTTTTAAAAGGGTAGAAAATATGCATAGTCTGTATATAGCTATATAAGTATATTCTATATAAATGGCAATTTCTTTTCTCTAAAGCATTTGTGTATAAGGGTTTTGAAAGAAAGGAAAAGACAAATAGATGACGAATGTATTATTCTTTAAATATGAGATTAGTACTTTTAAAAACTCTGGTTCTTCGTACAAAAGTATATTAAATTAACATACTGTGTGTCAGAATACAGGATGAGAAAATTTCTGCATTGTGTCTAATTATGATTCATTCCACATTTGGTTCCAGCTGATAGCAAAAGAATTTTGCCATTAATAATAGGAACTTAGTTCATATTATTGATGGCTTTTGCTAAAAAGTAAAGATTAAGTTTAGAATAAATATTATTACTAAATTTGTATATTATTATTAAAAGATGTGAGCGTGAAAACGTATTATTAGGCTCCCAACATATTACTGTTAAAATAGAAAAAAAAACAGTTAGGCGTTTTTAAATTGTAATGTAATAAATTCTACTTTCTAATAAAAAATTCAAAAAATTACAATTAAGGGAAATATTTCCCAGCTATTTTTGTCTACTATTTAGCATGATTTCTAAAATGTGTTCCAAAATATTCCAATTATTGGTTCATTTTTGCAAGAAAAACCTAATATCTAAACCAATAGCTATTAAAAATTTTAAAACTCCACATCGGAGACTAGAGATACTTTGTTTGCGCTACAGCCATTGCGATTTATTTCTGGAGAAGCTAATTCGGTTAATTCTCAAGTAGTAGAAAACTGAATAGAAAAGCTATAAATTCATTGTGAAAACTATTACGAAAGGTATATTTTTAATTTAAATAAAACCTAATTATATTATCGACCCGATTATTATTTTTTTACATAAAATTATTTATTTAAAAAAATTTGAAGGGTTTCAGATTTTAAATTACGTCCAAACGGGCTTTTTTAACATTTTGTGTGTTCCCTTTATTTATTACATATTATGTTCTTCGCAGTTAAACCATAAAATTCACTTCAAAAGCAATACCGCAAAATAATTTTAAATTGAGCATATCTTTAGAATTTCCGATACACAGTTTCACGCGCTAAAGATAAAACTGTGTTTTCTGTACAACGTTGCCATTGCTCGCTTTGAAATCCTTGAGTTTGTTAATCAAAAATTCGTTAAAGTTTTACAAAATATGAAATCGATAATAAAGCAAATTCCAAATTTCAAATTTGAGCTTCCAGATGCCTATTACGTCATTCAAAATTAGATGGCTTTAGGTACCGTTGTTTTATCACAATGCAAGAAACATACATACATTTATGCAGGTTCTTCATTATTTAATTTTTCCAAATATAGTGTAGGGCGATAATATTTGGTGGCAAGAGTTTGAAAAGAGAAACGGACATTCAGAGTGATTCCACACAAAATCCCAAAACGAAAACAATTGTCTCTCAGGACCAAAGCCCCTTAGGACTAAAAATAAAAAAATGCATTGCAAGAACAACACGAAAGGAGTGGTTAATTGTAATGTTATGTTGTAATATGACAGCAGAAGAGATTGAATAAATCTGCACATATCTGTTGCGATGGAAGCTGGTCTGTTATTTCAGTTATTCAGTTAAGGATCGGAAGAATGTACTGTAATCTAGATCAGTTAGTTACTGCATTGGACCTGTAAGTGATGCTAATACGCTGCAATATGCTCTACAAAGCAGGGAGACTTTGCCTGATCTCTATTTCTTTTCTTGAAGCCATTTAAAGCTGTTTACCTTACTGTATAAGCTGTTATTTCTTTCAATCAAATGTCAATTTCATTTTGCTCATCGGGAAAATTATTAAGATCAAGTGGGTATTACATTATAATGAAAACCTAAATAAGAATAATCCGATCAAAGTATTTTCTCACTTTTAAAATAGCGTTTAACACAAGAAATAGAATGTCAGTTTATTTAATTGTCTCAACTGTATAATAGAAAATAATGTCATGGATAGGATGATATTAGTATCACCTAGGAATTTTAATACCTTAGATAACAAGCATGATGATTAAGAACTAAATTTTGTAGTACTAAATAAATATCTTTCAGCAAAACCATTTGCTCTTCAAAATTTGATTCTATGTATAATTTTTGTTACTATGCGTTCTCTATCCGGTTTCGGATTCATTAAAATAAACACTTGAGATTATTTGCTAATTATGCTGCTATAAGGATATCCGCTGATAACGGCATGTGGAAGGAAACATCTGCTCATTTAAACTAATCGTTTTTCATTTTACCTTCAATACGTTTACTATAAAACAGCTTCCGTAATAGTCATAATCCACTTACTAAATAGTATTATCTAAAAAATGTGGCTTTTCATTTTCGCCCCTTTGCTTGTCGTTTGTTCAGGTAAGGTCGTAATTTTTATTTGATGAATGATTTAATGGACATTGAACATATATCAAATAAACCTTTGATATGTTTCAATTCCTTTTTACTTAAACGAATCTTTGTCTCTGTTCTCTAATGGAAAGGATAGTACTTTATAATTCCTGCAAAGATCTTACTGCAAGAGTTTAATTAAATTAATTCACCTTTAGAATGCTTTTTTATAAAGTTTAACGTAAATGTTTTATGTTATAATAATGTTTCCTCCTCTTACGGCCGCCCAGATGGTATAGTAGTTAGGGGAGCTTGCCTGCGATACCGATGGGTTCGAATCCCGGAAAAGGCGTCTTTGTAACTGTCCGTCCGCTCATAGGAGGCAATGGTGGCCCACCTATTAGGTGACCACCACATCTGGCCTTAGTATAGATTAATGGAATCTGTTACGTAATTGTTCACATTCTAGGAAAAAAGAAACTGGTTTCTCTTACAACATATGAATATTTTGTCTGGAAATGCATTTATTTAAATCAATAAATTAAATTATTTCGTTTTGTATTTAATCTGAATAAAATATGCATATTTTTTTTCATAAGTTGTGTCCTTAAACAAAATGTGTTGTTTTTCAGTTAGCCTATTGAACAAAAATAATGCATTAACTGTAGAAAAACTGTTGGATTTTAACTGCATCATGTTTTATCTATGAGATGGTATATGTTATTATTTAGCTGGTTAGTCTAAATAAATTTATCTCCAGTATTAATTAGGCCTACCAGCGGCCCGAGCGGTAAAGACGCTGAACACTGTTAGTTCAGTCCGAGGTTCGACTCCCGTGAACGGGCTGGCTTCATGGGCGTTTTCGTGGTTTTCCCAATGTGTAACGTGTATACGAGCCAGTTTCCCTTATAAAGTCCTCGACGAAGGCATCCCTCCCTTTAAGCCCTCATGTGCTTTGCCATAGTTAAATAATCCAATCCAAATCCATCCAGTATTAATTATGTTTTAAGTACTTTCCGGTAAAACATATTTGGGAAATATGATGGAATTCTATGCTTATTCAGGTTGATCTCTCGGCTTATCTATGTGCAGAAAAAATGTCATACCTAAATTTTAAATGTTATGTGTTTGGAATTTTAATTTAAATCCTCAAAAGCATTCCTAAGCTCCAAAATTAAATGATTTGGAAGAAAGCCTGTGAGATTTGAAAAAGATTTATTTCAGGAATAATAAGCTCACTAATTGACAAATAAAGAATATAGAAAAGAAAATTTTATATTTTTTGTGCTAAAATCGTTAAAGGTAACAAATAATGTAGTCCTATTTTCTAAAATTAAATCATAACCAGTTGTATTAAAAATAGCTTAAATGTAGATTAAGCGTTTTCCAATCCAGAAAAGTTATATTTTTTTACATTCATATTTTCTGTTAAACAGTAAAATGTAATAATTCAGTAATTCCAATATGCAATATAAAGTTAGCATGTTCTAAAGATTTGAAAGTGTGAACTAATACCTTTTCTATATTTCAAATTATAAAGTACCATTGAGAGAGTAAAAGCAAATATTTTTATTTATTATTGTTTTATAAGTTTGTTTGTATTATAATTACTTAAATCAAATACTAAATCGCACAAACAGTTAAAATTTAAAAAAAAAAAAAAAGGTATTTTATAAAAACAAAATATGATGTGTACACGACACGACTTCCTTGTACGGAGTATTAAATTATACGCATTTTTTCTTGCATTTCGCTTAAACTTATTGGATTGAATTCTTCGCCGACAGCGCATAAACCATAATAGAATAAATGCATTCTTTAAAATTCATTCTATTTCTTTACCATAGCGACACACTGGCGCTAGGTTCACTTAACAGTATTATATTTCGTTCATGTTATAACTCAGAATGCAAAAAATTTATATCATTTAAAGAATTATCTAATCGTTGCCACATGTTCTATTCAAATACTATAATAAAGCTAGAACAATGTATAAAATAAATTAAGCAAACAAAACAAAAAAGAAACAGTTTTTCACGGACGATTGAGTATTTCTCATTCAATTAATTCAGTTCTCACTTCGCAACAAGGCAAAAATACATAAAAACTCAAAATATCTGTATTAAAAATTACGAAGTAAATCTTAAACACTTATTTCCTCAAAAAAATTCCAGAAAGGATTAAGCATGATTTAATTCGCAATAATAAATGAAGGCGTTATCGTTGTTGTTACGAAGCTAAATTTCTCTAGATTGGCAACCAATCTACTATTCTGCTGTTTCAAATGTAAACAAGCAATGCCGCCATCAAAAACATTATGAGGCTTAGCGGCACTTGAACAACTTTAAAATTGTTGATAATTCTAAAAATATTGCACACAGATTTACTAAAGGCATACAAACATTAACCGGAAGATTAAGAACAACATAATTCAATCATTTTTAAAGCAAAAAATGCACAACTTACAAACATATAAGAGTAAAGAAACTGAGATCACTGAGCCGGGTAACAGAGTGGATATATATATAAATATATTCATATACATTTGGTGCGGCCGATTGCAACCAAAATACGAGGTGCACATCTACATGTGATAGCTGTTCTATATACAAAATTTCAACGTTCTGAGGCTACTCGTTCTTGAGTTATGCGAGATACGTACGTACGTACATACGTTCGTACAGACGCCACGAAAAATTATCTTCAGAATTCATTTTAAAGACAGTTTATAATTTTTTTGGAGGAAAAGAGTCTTTTATTCTGCCCTTATGTACAGATATCACGCAAAAACATAGTTAAATTGCTTTCGAAAGCGGTCAAAATGGATATTTTCGTTGAAATACGTTGCCTGAAAGTTTTCGCGATTACAATATTTCCTTTTTACTTCGTACAAGGAAGTAAAAATCATTGGGGGTTCAAAGGGCAATTTGCCCAGAAGTTATATTAATTTAGTTTTGACATTTTCCGTCAGTTCACTATAAATGTCGGTTTACTTTTCAAAATTTTATCACCATATATTGGACCCCTGCATAATATTTAAAGAAATTAAATAATGAAAAATCTGCGTGAGTGTATGTATATTTCTCGAACTGATAAGAAACAACGATACCTGCAGACATCAAATTATGAATAACGTAGTCCTGTACTCGAATATGGGCATCTGGAAGCCTAAACTTGGAATTGAAAATTTGTTTTATAATCTATTTCCTATTTTGTGTCAAATTAAAGAACTTTTTATTAACAAACTCAACGATGTCAAAGCTAGCAATGGCATCACTATGCTGAAAACCATATATTTATCTCCAATACGCGACACTGTGTATCGGAAATTTTTAAGAAATACTCTATTAGATATTTTGCAATATTGATGTTGGATTGAATTTTATGGTTTAAGTGTGAAGAACATGATATTTAATAAGGTAACACAAAAAACGTTTAAAAAAGCCCCTTTGGGAGTAATATAGAATCTGAAAACTTTCAGATTTGTTTTAAAATTATTTTTTGTAAACTTTCTTGAAAACTTTTATTAATTAAAGAACTAAAAATATAAATTATACATATTTAATCAGTTTTGAAAGTTAATGCCGGAAGGTCTGGAAGAATGATAATAAAAAGCTATGCCACAAAACGTATTGCCAAAAAAGCTATGCCACAGGATGAAAAAAGCCTCATATCCTGTTTTATATATCGACGTATCAAAAATCAGGCCTGATGTCTGTTTCATTAAACACATTGTTATAAAGAATAACTATATTTACCATTGTTATCATTGTTATAAAGAAAGAACAAATGAAAATTAAATATGTTTTTATGTTATTTGTAGGAGAATATCAGTCTGATATTTGTGAGAAGAAATACGACGATGTTTGTTATATAGTAAAACCTACGCTGAATGAATTTTCCAGCAGTGAAGAGATAATGGATACGTTGTGCCCGTAAGTAAAGCGATTTCAAATAAGTATTTTCAAAGATTGTAAACTACAATAACTTTTATACTGAATTACACAGAAATGCTCTCTCTAACCAGCTGACCACAGTTGTCAGTAGCTACCTTTGAATATTATATGTTAACATCGTTACAGCAAAAGTTCGAACGGATAATTAAAAAAAGTCAGAACACAGATAAAAATGTGCGATGTAAAATTTGTAGCTATATTAATAATATTTCTCTTACTATTTGTTCTCAAGTTTCCTAAGGAACAATACCTTCTACAATACAAAAATCTGTTATATTTTAACTGTTGCGTTGCATTAAATATATAATACAACGCAACGATAATAGTGTTGTATTATAACAATTAATACAAAATAACATTGTATTAATTATATAATACAACACTATTTGCTGTTGTTGTTGTTGTTGCTAATGCTCGTTTGTCTGACCTACAATCAGCGCAAGTTTACGCCTGTCGTTGGCAACAGCCTTGAGCACCTTACAGGTGACGGTGAGATTTAGCTCAGTTCCGCCCCCAATTTTGATGCAGAGCCCCCCGTGGGCACGAGTCCGAAGGTTTCCCACCACTCTTCCTCTACCATTAACCTCTCGAGAGGACTTTCAGCTCGCCGCAAATTTAGAGTGCCCCCATGCCGCACTATACATTTGCAAACATCCATGCCTTCTCCGGGATTCGAACCCGGGCCTTTGGACATGGCAGTCAGCGACGCTAACCAGTATACCATTTAAGCCGCACGCTATTTTCTAGTGAATGTGAATGACGCTTTAATTTTAAATTAAGCATTTTTTGACAGGCAACTTAGTATAGTAACCGAAACTTTTATATAAAATATTATATAAAAGCTTATTTTTATATTATATAAAATATTATATAAAAGCTATATTTTTTATATAAAAATATTAGAATGTTTCCACAATGAAGTCAAATTCAAATTTTCATTTCGTAAAATTATAAATATTTCTGGTTATGCCTGAAAACGTAATTTGGTATTTTCAAGTAATGATATATCATGTTCATTAATGCATACATCATTTTCTCTAATTTAGACTGCTGAAGGATTATACACAATGCGTCCACAATTATGAGAGAACTTGCGATGTCATCACTGATGAATTTCCTGGAGAATATGAGGATGTAAAAAATCTTTTGAATGAGGCATGTAACAAAAGCACTAAACTTCATCATGGTAAGTTGTACTTTTGCATGTATTTAACCATGGTTTTAAATTAAAAGAGTACAGTTGATTTCCTCCTGTTTTTGAGATTACAAAGATTTCAGTTAAAACTTTATTGACTGTTCAAAAGAAATATAAGTATAAATAATTAACGACAAAATTAAAAACATTTTTGGCATAGCTTGCAATAATTTGGAAGCAATAATTCTTCGATGCAAGCTGATTAAAAATGATATTGGGTTTCGAAACAATGTAATTCATTCTGAGCACATCAGTCGAATATTAATTTCGCATACATTACCGAAAATAAAATCTTTTAATCTGACAATACCACAAAAGGATATATCTAATCATTTTGATCATTGAAAAAAATTGTTTCATCAATAGAAACTCTAGGACGTATAGAAGACTTCTCCATTGTAGTTTTCGCGTTTTTAAAATTTTATTTATTAACACATATTCAGTATCAGTTTCATCGTATTAGTAAGGATGTAAACGTGATAATAAATATTACAAACTAGTGTCATACATATACAGGGTGACTGTTAATTCAATGGTACAGACTTTGAGAGCTGGTACAGGACACTGTAACATTCACATTTTGTATAGGAATGTATGGTCAAAAGTGAAGCGTCGAAGCACAAACATAGAAAAGAACAAATGATAGGGAATGTATTTTATATTCATAACCTCGCTTACAAGTGAAAATTAATTTACAAAATATGATTAGTTAATAAAACTTAATTTACAAAATTCATTTTAAGTTAAAAACTAATTAAAATTAAAAAATAATTATAATTAATTAATTAATTACAATTAATTTACAAAATGTGATTGTTACAGTGTCCTGTACCAGCCCTCAAAGTTTCTACTATGAATTAACAGTCACCCTGTATAAATCAGGGTCGTATCCTGAATTTCCATAAACGGCATGCTGCTGAACACCAAATATTTTGAAAATTATATTAATAAATGATAATTAGAATTACTCGTATTTAAAAATTGAATATAGCGTTTGCGTATTAATATGCTGTAAGACATTGCATAATATGAAAAATAATTATTTGCACATATAGTAAGAATTTTGAATTCCTCAGATTTAAGATCTGAAAGGTCTGAAATGGAAATTTTTTAGGCAAGGTTTCCAGATAGTTTGCATCATAATTCAATTCTGCTTTATTTATGCAGATTGCACTATTTTCAAGGGTAATATTCAGAGTAGTTACATTAGTTATTCATTAAAGTTTTTATTTATCATTGATAAAATTTGAACAGTGGTATAGGTAATGCTGATATTAGCAAAATCAGCTACTCAGTCTTATAAACTTCACTGATCATATTACGAAACCGGTTGGTATTTATACATGGTATAGTTATACAATTAATTATTAAGTGCAGTATGAGTATGTCTCATGTTTTGACCTTTATATGCCCAAACTCTTTACGTTTTATCACTTTTAAGTAATTTTTATTTTTTAGAGGAGGATCAAAATCTAACTATCGGTAGAATTAAGCTTTTTAAAAACACCATCTGTTTAATTTTTAGATTAAAAAAAGATGTTTATCTTAATAAATCTGTTTTATTACATGGAAATCTCATTTCGAATAATAAAGAGTTATTTTACCTTTTCATCTTGTTGTTTCCTGTCACACGAACTCAAGCGATTATTCCCTTACTAGGTCTTAAGATTCTTCACTTTCAACAGTAACTTAGAATTACCCAGTGAGGAACTCTACAAGTTTACGTTTTCCTTATAGCATTTTAGAATATTTAAATGCCCGTTTAAGTGAACGAGAAATGCTAGTACACTGTTAGGCAAGGTTTTTACAAAAAATCAACAGTCGTCTCAAACTCAAATTGAGCGCTGGCCATCTGAAAATAGTTGGCGTGCTACAATAAAAAATATGAACAAAGAATTTTTTAACAAATCTATTTTAAACTTCTTTAGTTCAGTTTAACACTTGATGGCCTTTGGATTCTGATAAAATTCGTAGCCTTGGAAAAAATTACTGGAAACTCTCTTCATCACGGATTCTAAATGATCATATACAAAGATACTCCTAAATAAAGCGATTATTCTTAATTCAAAAAATAGCAACTAAAGGTACTTTTTTCGACAAGTATGAATAAGATTAATTAGATCTATATATTCAAACCTAGCTATACCTTCTATACTTAGCTAAGTAGCTTCGTCTGTATATTTACTGGCGCGCTATTAATGTTCGTTTCAGTAGTATTGAAAATAATGTGAACCTGGATTATAAATCTTTGAAATAAATACGTCTTTTTTTTAAACAAATTCTTGTCATAATAATGTTATTTTCCTGCCATTTTGAGATTTTTTATTTGAAATAGTAGAGCAGGTTTTAAGATGAGGAAAATACACGAAATATATGATTCAATCTGTACTTCATGTAATTCCAATTTCGCTTTTCACTTTGAAACAGTTGCTTAATACAGTTTTATATGCCAATTGATAAGTTTTTAAGGATTATGTTAATTTTATTAACAGTTAAATTTTGAGTTAAAATTCCTTTCCTGTCGATTCTTAACTTCAACTTACCACTTCCGGCCATAACATAGTTTTAGAATCACGTCTGAATATATAATGAGGAAGAGCGGTATTTAACCGCGAAGTTCTTCGGTTTTACTGAGAGAAATACCAGGTATTCTGGCTGCACGCGTCCGCCCTTTTAGGCTACTCTCTCGTAAGCTATTATTACGCTCGGCTGTACTTTAGGCCCTTGATAGCTTCGCAGACTATTAATGTTAAGGGGCCAACTCAGTTAGAATCTTGATAGCTTCGGCTATATCTCTTTAGTTTAGATTAGTTTAGTATTATTCTTAGTCTCTTAAGTTCAAGCCAAAGTGTCGGCTTTATTATACAACACTAAGACGTTGTTCTGTCAAATCTTATTTCGAATAATAAAGGTTGTTTCCTGTCACACGAACTCAAGTGATTATTCCCTTACTAGTTCTTAAGATTCTTCACTTTCAACAGTGACTTAGAATTACCCAGTGAGGAATTCTACAAGTTTACGTTTTCCTTATAGCATTTTAGAATATTTAAATGCCCGTTTAAGTGGACGAGAAATGCTAGTACACTGTTAGGCAAGGTTTTTAAGGCCGAATGAGAAATTTGCCCAGAAGCGCTAATTTCGACTTGGTGTTTTGCTTCTTTCACTATAAAGGTATTTCATTTTACTTTTCAAATTCTTGCCACCAAATATTATACTTAAAGATTTACACACTATATTTAAAGAAATACACTATATTTAAAGAAATTAACTAATGAACAATCTGCATAAATGTATGTGTGAAAAACCGCAGTACCTAGAGACATTGATTTTGAATAACGTACTACTCAGCTCGAATATAGGTATCTGGGAGCCCAAACTTCGATTATCTATTTATATGTTTTATGAATAGATTATATTTATTATAAAATATATAAATATTATATAAATACTACTAATATATTTATATTAATATTTCTTAATACTTTTACGGATATTTTTTTTAACTTTTACGAATTTTTAATTAACAAACTCGATGATTTCAAAGCGAGCAATGGCAACACTGTACGGGAAAAAAACCTTTTTATCTTCAACGCGCGAGACTGTTTATCGGAAATTTTAAAGATATCCACTTTTTATATATTTTGTGATATAGCTGTTGAATTGTAATAGTTTAAGTCCAAAGAACATGATATAAATGTAACACAAAAATAAAACACAAATAAATGTAACACACAAAAAGTTAAAAAAATTACGCGGTTACGTTAAAAAAAAAGTTAAAAATCGCATTTTGTATTACGCCCATGGTCTTAATATAAAATTTGAAAGCTTTCAGGTTTTTTATTTTTCATTTATTTATTTCTTTATTTTCGTGTCATAAAATTTCAGTCTCATTTATTAAATCGGAATCTCTTTTTATACAGCTCTCAGACATAACTACGTCAACTCTTTGTATTAAATCATTTCTTTGCACTGACATTCAGTTCCTTCAAGAATGCAACAAACGTAATGATTCAGAGCTAATCTGCGGATGCAGTTTACCGTTTTAGTTATCGTTTCAATAACCTTATTCATCTTCAAACTTTCAGTGCCACATTAGTAACAAATACGTGACTAAAATGTACTCGTATGCAGCATAAAATTTCTTCGGGGAACGCCAGTTTGAGATTACTGCCATAATAATTAAACATAAGTTCTTATATAAGAAACTGGGAAATTTTCACGTAGGTGTTATTTGGATAAAATTTCTGAAAAGAACGAATTATTTTGGTGGATAATAAGAAGAAACTGAACATTGTAACCAGACAATACACTGGTGTGCAAAAATTAAGGACAAGACGGTTTTTTCAATATAACTTTGTACAAAAGCTTTCCAAATCAACACATTTAATACCGCAAGATCCCCAATACGTAAGGACATGAGTAATGTAAGCAACACTTACTAAAAGAGAAATCAGAGGGATAAAAAGAAGCTTTATTGAAAAAGTAGCATGGAGCGCAATGCGACTGAAGGCCGAAACATCCCTGTGATGGGCGTCCAGCAAGAAACATCCGGTCTTTAATAGGGGATATGATCTCCCTTGACTGCTAGGCAGGTTTCACAGCGTCTGCCCATGCTGAGAATGAGGGTGTCAATGAGTTCTTGACGCATTGCTGCCCATTCGTCTTGCAGCGCCAATCGAAGCTCCGGAATCGTTACTATTGGTAAGGTACGAGCTTCCAAGCGTCTGCCTAGAAAATCCCATACATGCTCGATGGGACTGAGATCCGGAGATCGTGCCGGCCAATCCGTACGTTCAATATCCTCACTCTCTAAGAGCTGTTCGGCAGCTACTGTGCGATGACATGGTGCATTGTCGTCCATGAAAAGGAACTGCGGACCCATAGCGCCTCTAAAAAGACGCACATATGGAAGAAGAACTGAACCTGCGTCGAAGATGTGAAGGTCTGTACGACTACCAAGCATGATGCCTCCCCAAACGAGAACACCGCCACCTCCATACCTGTCCTATTCAATGATGTTCGAGGGATGATTGCGGCTTTCCCGCTCTCTCCAGATGAGTATGCGATGAGAATCGCTACTCAGACTGAATCTGCTCTCATCTGTAAAGAGTACTCGTCCCCATTCATTGTCTCTCCAATTCCGGTGTTCCGGCACCACACAGAACGCCTTCTCCGATGGGCAGGCGTTAGAGGTACACACCGTACAGGGCGTCGTGCAAACAGACCACCACCGTGCAGTCTTCTGGCCACGGTAAAACGCGATATCGGTCGTCCAGTCGCCTGTGTCGTGTGTCTAGCGATTTCTCCCGCTGTCTGCCGTCTGTTTCTTCTGGCCTGTACAAGGCAATATACCGGTCATCTGCGGGTGTGGTTTCTCGTGGACGGCCACTACCAAACCCCCGGATAGCTGTTCCTGTAGTTTGAAATTGTCCCAAAGTCGTGAAACGATGCTGTGAGCAATTTCGAACTCTGCAGCCACACTTGTCACACTGCGGCCTTCCTCGAACTTCCCAATGATTCGACCTCGGGTAAAAGTATCAGATGAGTCGTTACAGATTGATTATTCGCCATTTCTCGCTGAGGCAGCAACTCGGTGTGATTTTAACTGCTATACGGCGTGCAATCTCTTTGCCAGAAATACTGATCTTACACCGACAACATGCTTTATACTACTCAGACACTCCCCCATTACGTCTACCTGCATATCTGCGCATGTGCTACCGTATATCACCTTACTTAATCTCCTGATTGGTTTTTCTGTCCGCTCTGCCTCTTCGTTCAGCTGATATGCTAATTTTTCGACTTCGTCCTTAATTTTTGCACACCAGTGTAGTTTAAGTTAGGAAATTAGCATAAGTAATCTAATAAAATAACAGAGAATGTTTTCATATTTATTTGAGATGAAAATGTTTTAAACCGGTTGTAATTTTTTTAGAGATTCTAGAAGCAATTCCTTGTCTTAGAAACGCAATAGGAATTATGCAAAGCCTTTGTCCTGAAGACAGAAAGAAACTTGTGGCTCTGTATGCAGAGCATATGGAGGATGATATCGAAGTACAGAACCGAGAAGTTGACTCCGAAAATGATCGTCTCAAACACCACTGCTTGTAAGAAGAACTTTTTTTTTTTTTATTTTTGTTAGCGCAGAATTCTTTGAAATGAATTCGGCGTAATTATTTTTATTAAACACGTAAATAATATGTATAGTTGGCAAATATGACAAATGACCAAACGTATTTTAACATATCTTTTCAGTATGTGTTACATAATTCGAGATAAATTATTTGCTTATAAAAATGATTCAAATTTTAAATTTTCAGTTCTACCCTTTAATAGAGAGCTACGAAATTATCACATATATTTTAGTTTTCTATGCCGTTTTAATCTTGATGCCCCTCCTAGTAAGTTTATCTTAATAGGATTAACCCTAAAATTCAGCAAAAACTGAAATACAAAAAGAATATGTATTTTTTTTGCATGGAATGTAAAAGAATATGTAATTTTTTTTTGAAGTAGTGCTTTTATAGTTTTGCTCTGCGTCTGAAAATAGAATTTTAGTTTTATTACGCGGAATTCATTATTAATTATTTTTTTACAGAGAGTAGGATTCTTTATTTTATGAATTATTCATTATAGCAGTATAACTCATTTCTTCAGCTTATATAACATTACATAGCTTTTCACGGGCAATTCTGGTCTGCGTAATTACTAGTGGTGACAGGGGTACTTAAGCTTTGTCGAACCGAAAATCTCTTCAAGAGGCTGGTGATAGAATAAGAGGGATGCAAGACCTTAGAATTCACTCTTCAGGTTACTTCAGAACTCAGATAGAAGAAAATACAGCATTTGAAATCTGAGATAGAGTTAATCGTGCTGTTCAGCAGTTAAATGTCTAAGTCCTCGCCAACCTTAGGCATGGGATCAGAACCTATGGACATTTATGACATCTTAGTCTAACATATCCTTTCAAAAAATAAAAAAAAAGGACTAATCTTTGCATGTTAGGTTTCAGAAAATTCCCGCTGTTATTCCACATAGGGAAATAGTGAATTTTTCCATACCTTATAAGGTTTTTCTTCGGCCTTCTTAACGTGCCTTCGTGGTATGGTGGTCTACACGCCGGGTTCGTATTTCAGAGGTCTGTGGTTCGATTTCCGGAGAAGGCGTTGCTCATTTTTCATGACTCCTGCTTCCGAAAATTCCTAATGTCTCTACAACCTAAGAAGTAATTATTTCACGTTATTAAACTTTATGCATTAGAATATCTCTGCACTAGCGCTGTAAATGTTTCTTAGTAAAACAAAGCTTATAAAAGATTTAGAGAGAGAACATTAATTTTCCTTTAAAGTTGTATAAACATTTTACTTTACAGTGTTTAAAATACGCTTTCTTTGATATTTTCAGAACCCAGCTTGAAGATATAGTTTGCCTAGCAGAATATACTATGGATAATTGCGGCGGACATGCCAGAGATGGCGTCCTTGAATTGTTCTATCGCTCTGGCGCCGTACAAAGCATATGCTCTCAAGATGCTATTTCTGAAATCTTCGACGTCTTGTCAGAGCTAGATATTGAAGAACCTCGCATGAATTCTGTGTTTTATACCTTCCATAGATTCACACAAAAATAACTGACTTTTATTCCAAACAATATAAAATATACAATATTTGCAATTATATATTATCTTTAAATGCAGAAAATAATGCGTTTGTCTGTTATTTTGATTACAAAAGATTTACGTTAACGTTGTTTCTCTGTCTCATGTTAATACTGAGTTTTATTTTTGAAAACTGAGAATAAATTTGCTTATTGCATCCACATCGCTGTAATTTATTTGACTTTGTATTGTAAATCATTTGCCCTATTTTAAGGCTATTTTTAGTCTGAAGAGTTATTAGAAATATTTAATATTCACGAAATATCAACTTTGGAATAATGAGTTCGGTATGTTAAGCTAGAAATTACGTACTACGAGAGAACAATCGTAAATGTTTATGAAAATGATATACATAAGGTAATCAGATGCGAATATAGAAATAATTACATTACCTTCACAAACTGCTATACAATTTACCCCGTTTTCTTTATTCTCGCTTATTGCTTGCATAATTCAACATTAAATCATTCATAATATTTCAGTGTTTATCTGATGTTGCAAAGGGTTTTAGCTAATATGAAAAAAAATTTTGATCTTCGCTGTGAACATTATCCCATATAAATCAATAAAATTCTGGTTTATGTATGCACATTGACAATGTTAATCTGCATGGATATCAGTAAGTCAAATCTCCTTAAGGCCAGTAGAACTGTATAGACACAGGTAGGCCAAATTCTCATGAAAACTAGTACGTAAAATTTCAAAGTAACTGTATGAATACTAAGCTAAATCCTCATAAAAAGGCTCACAGAAGTATATGATTAACATCGGCAAAATTTGCAGAACTATAATAATGCAAAACAGAAAATTTTAGAATATACTTCAGTAAATATTATTTTGAGAAAAATTATAAAATTTTAAATAACTAGAGTCTTACAAGATCTATACCATTCTCTAGGTTTTTAAATGGAATATAAAACTATAGTGTAAATTCACAAGCTAGATTTCTTTTATAAAATTATGAAGAAAGGAAAAATAAAATCATGACAATTTTAGAATAATCATTTCAGAAAAGGTACATATGACACAATACTTTACTAAGTGCATCTTCATATTAAATTCTGTATTAAAATTCTTCACGAGCATTTTAACATTGTTACCCGTCTACAACAATATTGTAAATACATGTAGCAGTTCATGCGGGGGCTGTTTTATACAAGAAAATAATGCAAGAAACATAACACGAAACAAATTAAGCGAACGCGCTTGTGGCGATTTTATTGCCTTCAACAACCATTTTTGAAAACGTTTTATTCAGAAAGTAAAAACAATATCGGCATTGGACATGATCTGTGTAAGGCGACCCTTAATTATTTAATTATTAAATTTAATTATACAATACATATATATATATATATATATATATATGTAAGATAAAAATATATGAATCAAATTATAGATTAACTATAACATTAATTCTTCCTCTCTATTCTAAAATCGTAATAACTTCTCTGCATTGCGTCATTTTTAGATCACTTTATGATCGGCTCAGCTCTGATGACGTAATCATTGGGAACTGAAACTGTCCTTGAAAACCAAAACTTTTCTCTTCACGTGCCTCCATCTTGCATAACTATGCACTTCAGCTTTTGCCCTCTACTCTGCTAAGATGTAATTTCGCTGGCTTGCTTTCTATCTCAACAATATCAAAAATGTAAATCTTCTGTGGAAAGGCACGACTAGAGTGCCAAGTGATTGTGGCCACAAATATCAATTGGAAATAAAAATGGAATTAAAACTGCCTCGACTGCCAAGTTCTTTAAATACTACGCAATCAAAATTCTTCTTCAATATGGATCTAAGCACGCATATACAGTGCTCCGTCTTTTCCTTTTCCTGTGCTTTTAATATTACATATATATATATAGATAATATATATAATACACAGCTTTATATGTTAATACCAAATACACATAATATAATACACAAATTTAGATATATAATACAAAAAGATATAATACACAGATTTATATATATAATACACTGATTTATATATATATATAATACACAGATTATATATATAATACAAAATACATGTAATACACAGATTTATACATATCATACAAAATATATATAATATAATGCACAGATTTATATGTATAATACAAAATATATACACTGCCCTCCAAAAGTTAAGGAGCACCTCTAATTTGAAAATGAAGCAACATTGAAACAAGAAATTTACAGGACCAGTTTGTTGCCTAAACAGTTCTTTAATGCATACGATACAGAATTTTTCTAAACTTAAACACAAACTTGAATTACAGCAAAAGATTGCACTTCTGGAAGAGAAAACCAGTCTTGAAGAAATAGTATATCACAGTTTTTTTTATTAACAATAGGGTGGTAACATTACAGAAATGGGTTCTAATAAGGATTGTATCCACCCCTAGCTGCAATACATTAGTGACAGCGACATTCCATCCTGCCATTTAAGTTGTCGGTCCGTGAAACGGGAAGCAACGACCAGACACGGAGTAATCCTTGTTCAAGGTCATCTAACGACCTTGGAGGAGGATTTAAAGCAGCAACCTGTCTCCCAAAATAGTCCCAAAGATGCTCTATCGGATTCAGGTCTGGGGATTGAGCTGGCTATTCCATTTTCTCCATACCGTGACTCTCAAAATATTCTTCAGCAATCCAAGCTCGTTGCGCATTGTCATCCATCAGAAGAAATGCAGGACCAATAGCAGCGGCATAGCATATAGACAGACATATTGATCAAGGACGTCGTCTCGATATCTCACACCGGTCAAAGTGCCTCCATGCAGATCAGTATGACCACCGAGAGAAATCCCAACCCAAACTATTATTCCAGTACCTCTGCAACTGTTTCTTTCCACAATGTGGGATTGGTTATATCTGGTGCCTCGTTCCCTCCACTTCAGCTGACGACCTGAATCACTCTCGAGTGTGAATCTAGAATCGTCTGTGAAGAAAACAGACGCGCATTTTTGACTCGTTCAGGAGACGTGTTTGTTCTCTTGAACAACATAAATGGGCACCCCTGTGTTCTCACATTTTGAATTACTGATATATCTCATTGTATTTATCTGTATGTTATGCTGTATCTCACTGTAATTTAGTATTGTATGCAGTAACATACGGTTTCTCAATACAAAAATATCTTAATCTGCTTATAAATAAGGCGTTATGAAAATTTCCAACTTAATGAGTTCAGACGGATATAATCACGCTAATAGACAAGCAACGGAACTCCTTTTTCAGGTGGCTGACATACTAGAATTAATTTCTTCGAAGATAAAGAAAGTGACAATTGGAAACACATCGATTATTGTCGCGTACCTAGTATATGTTTGTGACTTTTGTGCCTAACTCGTTAGGAACGCTAAACCACGATACGACATATAACAGCGAACTTCCTGGCTGCGTCATGTTTTCGTAGTTTTCTCATGAGTAATTAAAATTCAAGCCAGATCCTTTTATAAAATCTTTTGCGGCAATATGCCTTCCTTTCGGAAAATAATTTTCGTGTAGTTTGTCGTATGCAAAGAAACAAACAAACATGCAATAATGATATTGATAAAATGTAACATCTCATTGCAAAAATAAATCTTCTATATAGATCTGTACAAAAACCTGAATAATATAAATATCTCTACAATTTGCCGCAAACAATAACGTGGTGTATTGCACAAAATAGGGCGCAGTTCAAGTTTCACAAATGTCGCCTTCTAAGGCTACTGAAAAATCAAAGCGGCAAGAATTCTGTTTGCATTCGTAAGCATAGTTAAGCCGCCCAACTGGTATAGTGGTTAGCGTCGCTGACTGCTGTGCTAAAGGGCCCGGGTTCGAATACCAGAGAAGGCATAGATGTTTGTAAATGTATAGTGTGTCCGTGCGGCATGGAAGCACTCCAAATATGCGGTGAGCCGATGTCCTCTCGATGTCAACTACTGAAAAAGTTGAGAGCCTCTCAAATAGTTAGACTTAACTTATTCAGCAACTTCGTAACTTGTCCGTCAGTTAACTCAGCTGAGTATTCATTACCAAGAAGCAGAGCAAATGATGCTCTGTGAGGAGAGATTATTAATTACAATAACCATAATTTTCTCAAGAAATCTTTATTAAATTTTAAATATAAATTTATTGTAGCAAAAATAAGAAGAAACGTTGTGTGAACGTTCTACATGAATTTAAATGTGTAAGACGTTTTAAGTTTAGTAACGAGATTTCAGTATTTTGTGAAAGCAAAAAAGAGACAAATCTTTTGACGAAAACTAAATAAATAACAATAATAGGAACTGAAATGTTTAGTTCCAATTAAATATTTGCGCACATTAATAATATTAATTATGTTATCCATTTTAACGAACTAACTTCCTTTAAGTATACTGTGGTATTTTTATAAACTTGTTTACACTTAATTTTTGAACTTCTTGCATTATTCATTGTGTAATTCAAGATCATCTCTTGACACTACTTGAAACAGATTTTACTAGGTATGTGCCAACTGGTCCTTTTATTATCCATTTTCCAATTTTCTTTTCTTTTATACAGCATTCTATTATACCGATGTATATATTATAATTAATAATTCTTATTGATAAATTTCGGACTTAACATCGTCATACCGCCTGTGGAGCGGTGTCAGAACACCTGGGTGCCTGGGCCGAAGGCCCTACCCCAGATCGGTGTCCGCCGATAACATCCGGTCGAAAACGTCGCAGAGAAAACAACGCAAGGCGAAAACGTCGTGCTACAAAACATCGTGGGAGAAAACATCGCAAAGAAAAAACATCGCAGTTCTAAAACATCGTGGTACAAAACATCGTCGTCGAAAATAAAGCGGTTTAAAAACTTCGCAATTTAAAATCATCGTCGTCGAAAATATCGTGGTAAAAAATAAAGTATCTACAAATCATCGCGTGACTATAACATCGCAGACATGCTTTTTTCAGACTTTAATAACTGTAAATAGATATTCCCATAATAATTTGTGAGCGCAAGAGGGAAAGACGGATAATTTGTTTTTCATATTTTATATTAACTAATAAATTTTTGCTGAGAAAATAAGAAGGAAACTTAAGCACAGAAAATTAATGCAACTTATAGCACTTAATAGAATTTTAAACCGACATAGTTAACTAACAAAGACACTTAATAAATCATTTTTTATAAAGTTTTTACTGGTAATTTTTC